ATGGCTCAGTGGTTAAGCGTGGACCTATGAACCAGGAGGTCAAGGTTCGATTCCTGGTCAGGGCACGGGCCTGGTTGGGGGCTCCATCCTCAGTGTGGGGTGTGTAGGAGGCAGCTGATCAATGATTCTCTCTCATCATTGATATTTCTCTCTCTTCCTTACTCTCTGAAATCAATAAAAATATATTTTTAAAATGCTGTATGTGAAAAAAATTAGTAAAGAAACACCGGCTTGTTTAAATGTGGAGGGAGACAGCATCTAAGAGGGAGAATCAGGAAACCAGAGAGAGAAGGAATTATTAATTATTCTTCTTTCGCTCCTGCCCACTAAAATGTGAAACTAATGAAGGCAGGAATCTTGCCCATTTTGTTTATTGCTGTTTGCTCAAATGCCAGAACAGTGCTTACAATTTACCAGACTCTCCTATTTGTGAACGATTACATTTTAACACTCCGGTGTGGGGTGAATTTCCCGCCAAAATATAAGATGGCTCTGTCTTTTGGTTTTGTTCCATCCACCAAAAGGGTGGATTACAAACAAATATTTGGTAATACGCAGTTACAATCGGCCCGAGTTTACACGTTTCCCGCACTCCACCGCAAATCTATATGAACCGAGTTAAAGACGGCTCCCGCGGAGTACGCGCAATTCACGCGAGCCGACTTAACTCGTTTCCCCCACTCCAAGTGTTAAAAAGGCTAGTGGGGGGGCTATGGACTGAGTGTCTGTGTCCCTCTGCAATTCATACTCTGAAGCCCTAATCCTCATGTGATGATATTTGGAGGTCGGATTTTTGGGAAGTAATTATGTGTAGATGAGTTCATGAGGCCGTGGAGCCCCCGTGATGGGAGTAGTGCCCTTATCAAATGAGACCAGAGCTCTCTCCCCCACAGGAATATACAGTAGGAAGGCGGCCATCTGTAAACCAGGAAGAGGACACACACCAGAAGCCCACCTCGCTGGCACCCTGATCTTGGGCTTCTAGCTTCTAGAACTATGAGAAATAAATGTTTATTGTTTAAGCCACCCGGTCAGTAGTATCTTTGTTATATCAGCTTGAATGAAGTTAGGGGGAAATCAAGAAATTAGCCTTAGCCCTAAAATACCTCGTTTAAAATTCTTCAGTACACTTTTTTTGAGTTCCAGACACCACCCATATTTTGTAGTGTGGCATTTAAAATCTATCCTGATCTATTTACCTATAACGCCCCCCCCCACCTAAATTTAAATACTTTACAAATATCCTCCCACACTTTTGTACTCTCCATGTTTTTACTTATAATCTGTCTTGCCTCTGCCAGGAAAAACCCTCCATAGCACCATGACTGATGATATTCCACGTATCTTTCCAGAATCCACTCACTTATCAACCCCATGGGAGAGGTCTACGTAAGAGCAGCAGATAAAAGCTGGAGAGAGAGAGAAAAAAAAAAGCTGGAGAGGGCTTTCTATGTGCTGGTTGCTTTCATTCTGTCAAACATTCTGGGTGACGCAGGCATTGTTTCTATTTGAAAGTTTAGAAACTAAAGTTTAGAGTTTGTGATTTGCTCAAAATGATACTTGGTTAGAACTGGGATTGAGGTCTAGGAAGACTTGATTCTAAAGCCTGTACTCTTTTTTTCTGTACAACCTGGCTTTTGGGGCAATCCACTATTCCTTTAATTAGAATAACATTTATCTTTTGTATTCTAATTATATTTATCTTTCAGTACACTCTGAGTTCTTTGAGGGCAAAGCCTGCCTTATTCATTCTTTTACCCAAATGATTATCAAAGAGAGTAAGAACTTAATATACATTGGTTGAAAGTAAATGGTGGCAGTTATATATGGAATAGCTCTAGTGGTGAAAGAATTTCATATTAGATGTTTTAAAGCTAAACTCAAACCATTTCCCCAAAAATGAGGATTTCAAGGATTCAAACAGTCTTGTTAATTCCTATCCTAGGCAAGCACATGAGTAAGAATTACCTAATCCAGCCACCTGACTTTCCCAGAAGGTACCATGAGTCAGAAGACATGAATGAATTCTTTTGGGACAGTTCTAAGTCATCAGGGATGCAGAAGAGGGTGAAGGAGTTTTTGAATACTAAATGGCTCATCCTACTTTGTGGCAAGAAACCATGGCCTTGGAAAATAAGAGCAAAGTAGGTTTTTCAGTCTGCTCCAAAGGATTTATTCTATAAATAGTACAACAGTGCACAACACAAACCAAATGTCTTCATTTACAGAATTTATTGTCTAAGGCTGGGAAATAATTTTATAATAAAGTGGGGATGTGGATGAAGGAAAATATAAGAGATCTCAATGATGTTGAAAGGAAAAGCAAACAAACCAGTGTGACTGCAGGGGATGTGGGGCAACTGGTAGGAAATTAAGTCAGAGAGCTAACAGATGATGTGGGACCGTGTCCAACAGATCATGTTAAAGACTTTAGAGGTAATGAATGATGAGGATTTAGTGGTTTTGACCATGTTAACATGATCTGATTTCCATCTTTAAACAAAGTTTGTTCCGGTGAACAGATAGCAGTGGAGTAAGAGCACAAGGAGGAAGGCCCACTGTGAGGGTATGAGAACAGTCCAGTGAGTAATGGAGGAGGAAACTATGGTTGGTTATCTCTAAGAGTGGTGAGAGGTCATATTCTGAATGTATGTGGAAGCTCTATCCAAGATTTGCTATGCACTGGAAGTATGAGAACAGATGAAGAACCCCAGTTTTTGGCTTTAAGCAGCTGGGTGAATAGAATACAGCTTAGTGAGGAGGGAAACACTGAAAAAGATCATAAGTTCGTTTGAGAAATCAAGACTTCTATAGGAATATTTGTAGATGAAATTATGTGACTACAATTACTTCAAAATAATCTAGTTCTGTAAATATAAAAAAAGGTTAATCATTGCTAATTGTTGAGACAGGATGATATGCATGTCCAGGTTTATTATACTATTCTATCTTCTGTATTTACAATTGTTCAGTAACAATACTTATTAATATTTTAATAATAAACTTTTAAAAGAATGCTTATAAACACACATCAGACTTCATGTGGAGGTGTTAGTTAGATATACATGGAGTTCAGCAAAGAAATCGGGCTAAAAGTTATAGGAGTTATCAGCACATTTAAAGCCATGACACAGGATGAGAATGCCTACAGAGTGAATAAAAATAAATAGGTCCAGCACTAAGTAACTGAACTCTCCAACATTAGGAGATGAGAAAAAATCTTGAAAGGCATTTTTGCCAGGATTTTGCAATGTGTATTAAGTCACTAGAAAATATGTAACTTTGAATCAGTAATTCCATTTCTAGGAATGTATAAGAAATGAATAGGACTAGTGTACATAGACTATGTAAAAGATTTATTACAAATGCTCAATGGGAAAAGAGAAGGGAGGGAGGTGACATGGTAAAATAGCCTGAAAGTCAATCAATGGGCTGGCTGGATACATTACGTTACATTCAATGGAATATTGTCCAGCAATTAAGAATGGTGTAGGTATAGACCAGTGGTTCTCAACCTTCCTAATGCCACGACCCTTTAATACAGTTCCTCAGGTTGTGGTGACTCCCAACCATAAAATTATTTTCGTTGCTACTTCATAACTGTAATTTTGCTACTGTTATGACTCATAATGTAAATATCTGATATGCAGGATGTATTTTCATTGTTACAAATTGAACATAATTAAAGCATAGTGATTAATCACAAAACAATATGTAATTATATATGTGTTTTCTGATGGTCTTAGGCAACCCCTGTGAAAGGGTCGTTCGACCCCCAAAGGGGTCACAACCCACAGGTTGGCGACCCACAGGTTGAGAACCGCTGGTATAGACTCAAAATGTTTTGAGAAAAGCTGATCAATTAGAGCATTCTAGTTTGTTTTATACTTATTTACACTATAATGTTAATGTTTTGCACTAATCTTTCCATCAATAACCTAAAATAGTAAATGGTAAAATTATATAGCTTTTCCCCACTTCATTTATCTGTAGTTTGTATTTTTTCTCAGTAGATATTATAAAAATATACAAGGTTTATCTATACTAATAAAAGGGTAATACGCAAATTGGTAACAACACCCTCACAGTCACGACCAGATATGCTAATTAGTGACGACCAGTATGCAAATTGATCATCACTTCAACACAATGATAAGAGAGGTATATGCTAATTATCTCTGATATGCTGATTAATCATGACCAGTATGCAAATTGACCATAACTCCAACACACAAGATGGCCACCACAAGATAGCCTGTAGGGGAGGGCAGTTAGGGGCGACCGGGCCTGCAGGGGAGGGCAGTTGGGTATGACCAGGCCAGCAGGGGAGGGCCGTTGGGGGTGACCGGGCCGGCAGGGTAGGGCAGTTGTTGGCAATCAGGCCAGCAGGGGAGGGCAGTTTGGGGGGGTACCAGGCCTGCGAAGGAGGGCAATTTGGGGGATACCAGGCCTGCGAAGGAGGGCAGTTGGGAGCAACCGGGCCAGCAGGGGCGGGCAATTGGAGGCGGCAGGGCTGGCAGAGGAACAGTTAGGCATCAATCAGGCTGGCAGGGCAGTGGTTAGGGGGTGATCAGGCTGGCAGTCAGAAGCGGTTAGGGGCAATCAGGCAGGCGAGCGGTTGGGAGCCAGCAGTCCTGGATTGTGAGAGGGATGTCCGACTGCCCG